GTGTAGTTTTGTCTAACCATCACCTCAGTCAAAATACAGAACTATTGCAATACCACAGAGATCTCTCTCCCTTGTGTTAGCCCTCTGTAGTCAACCAGTCCCACTCCTACCCACTCCCCACCATCCTTAACTCCTACAACCACTAATCTGCTCTCCATCATTATAGTTTATTGTTGTATTAGATGGGCTAGTAATACAGCATCGTCTCAAAGGGGAAATGTTTTCTGAAGCAGAAGCTACTGTCTTAAGAGGTTTTAAAGAACCTGCTTGTGTCTTCACATTTTCCAGTTACAAATTTCTTTAAAATGGAGGGCTCCAGTGGAATTTTCATCCATTTGCTCCCAACTGATGTGACCATAGATTCATTCATCCCCACCTCCTTTCTGTCAGCTTCCAAGAGAGTTTTGTTAAAGGGACAAAGCATTTTTTCATTAAGTTAATGATGTTGAAATGTTCTAAGAATTGGATGAATTTTTTATTCAAATTTTTATCCATTTTTATCATTTTTTTATTTGAGGAGTCAGAAAAGCATTTGGAAGTTTTTAGTGTAAAAAAATAAAGCCGTAATTCACTGATACTTTTATCTGGGTTCCTTGTTTATCATAATTTATAATAATGATGAAGATAGGTTCAAAGGAGTTGATATGTATAAAGCACTTAGACCAGTGCCTGGCACACAGTAATCTCTGTGTTAGTGTTAACTCTTACTTTTACTGCTACTGTTAAGACAACGGTTCTCAGGCTGAGAAGGCCTTTTTAAGCATAAACCAGAAGATTAAATCACACAAAGAGGAAAGTAAAAGTATCGGCTACTTTGAACAAGAAAAACCAGGCCCCCATACGCACATAAAGAAGATTGGGAAGGTGTGTTTTCATAGATTTTCTCTCCGTGGTGGGTTTATAGTTGATTCATGGCCCCACCCTCCCTATTCTCTCCTTTTAACAAACATAATTACTCTTACAGTTGGGGAAATTAAAGCAATGATATATGGAAAGGGAATAAATACACCCAGATTCAGTAAGACTTTTAGGAAAGTGACACTCGCTAGTAGTAGTATAAATGACCCTGTATTTCAGGAGGGCAATTTGACAGGTATCAAAGCCTTGAAGAGGTTCATCCTCTTGACCTAGTGATTTTACTTTTAAGACTGTATTTTTAGGAAATGATCAGAAATGTCAGAAAAGGTGCAAGGATATTCATTAGAGTGTAGCCTTCTAACAGGAAAGTGAAATTCACTTTATGTGTAAAGTTCATTATTTAGTTTGAACTCCATCAAATGGCTACATTGAGTAGTTTGATAGGTATAATATCAGTTTGACACAGACACTTTGATCATGGCATTAGTATAAATTTGGAAATAATATTAATTGGTTAAAAACAATTTCAATATTTATAGATTTAATCCTAGGAATTTGTCCTAAAATATGCCATCTTTATATAGTTATATTAATATATATTAATAGTATTTATATTTTTAGAACAAAAATATTTTCTAGCAGTTGGATGTTTTTAATATAGTTATGTCATTTTTACATTCATGTAATGTCTGTCACTATTTTCTGTCTAAACAGGGAGGTAATGTGAAATGAACACGTAGGCTCAGTAACTGTGGCATTGCTTCTGTTGTTTTATACTTTCCTTCAGTAATTTCAGATCTGAAGGTTGTAATCTAGCTTTTGGTTTTAAAAAAGTTAGTAATTGATATCTTTTTTTTTTTTTTAAAGATTTTATTTATTTATTTGACAGAGAGAGACACAGCGAGAGAGGGAACACAAGCAGGGGGAGTGGGAGAGGGAGAAGCAGGCTTCCCGCGGAGCAGGGAGCCCAATGCGGGGCTCGATCCCAGGACCCTGTGATCATGACCTGAGCCGAAGGCAGACGCTTAACGACTGAGCCACCCAGGCACCCCAGTAATTGATATCTTCAGAGCATTTAGTGCTTATCCACCGTGTTGAAGCAGTAATTGCTGTTTCCTCCCTCAGTATTCTCCATCTCAATTACTCAGGCCAGAAGAGGGAATCTGAGTACCTCTGGATACCTCATTCTTAGCTTACGATGTGTGGATCCAGTTTTTGACCAAGTCTTGGCTGCCTCCAAAATACCGTGAATCTACCACTTTTTTCAGTATTCACTGACATCACCCCAGTCAAGGGAACAGTACCTGTGTTTTTGGAGTATTGTATCATCATAATAACTGTTTCCTCCTTTTTCCCCTTAGTCCGTTTCTTTTTGTTTATATTTTTAAATTTTATGGAAGATAGGAATACATCCCATTAAAGAAGTCACGTATTTCTACCAGCCCCGCCCTTGAGCCCCACACCCATCCAGTGTCTTAGCTATTCCTCTTTGGAGGAATTTAAGTTCAGTTTTCAAATAATGCATCTAAATGCCTATCGTTTATAATTTTTAAAATTTTAGATATGATTTATTGACTCTCTGTACCGTAGAAAATGATTTTACTCTTATATTCTCTTCCCCTGACATTTACACAATTCACTTCGCCTCTTTTTCGCATGTAGTTATGTTGTAATTTTAACATGAATAAGTAATCATGCCTCAACCATGCTTTACAATCGAGCCATGATTACTTACTTAAATTTTGTTTTCCTTGAGCTAATAACTTACTTAAAGTTTCTCTGTACTGGTCACTAATGTTTCTGCTAGTGGTAAATATAGTGAATGCCTTATCAGTGTGTGTGTTCAAACTCTTAGAATAGAGTTCATCTATGAGAGGCACCCCTCTTGGAATTTCTGTCCTCTTGCTAGTTAATATCTGAACTATTGTTCTTAAGCTCTGCTCACAGTTGTGTCCCAGGATGTCCCTTTACTGTTAATCTGGGTATTCATAGTATTTTCTTTGTATGTTGGTTACTCAGTTTCCTGGATCACGTGTCTTCCTTTTTCTTAGTTTGCTAGTTTGTTTTGAGGAACCACATATTCTGCTGGCTCTCTGAGAATAGGTGCATAGAAGACAAATTCTCTGAGACTTTCATGTTTGAAAATCTCTGCAATATATTTTTATACTTAATTCATATATTTGTTGGACACAGAATTCTAGGATTTTGAAGACATTATTTCAGTTGTCTTTGACTTTCAGTGTGTTACTCTTGAGGTATCGATGCCTTTGATCCCTTTTTTCTGCCTGAGATCTATTTTTGTTTTTGAATCTTACAGATTTTTTTTTTTTTTAAGATTTTATTTATTTGACAGAGAGAGTCACAGTGAGAGAGGGAACAGAAGCAGGGGGAGTGGGAGAGGGAGAAGCAGGCTTCCCATGGAGCAGGGAGCCCGATGCAGGGCTCGATCCCAGGACCTTGGGATATCAGACCTGAGCCGAAGGCAGATGCTTAACGACTGAGCCACCCATGCGCCCCTGAATCTTACAGGTTTATAATCTCTTGGTCTCTAATGCTCTAAACTTTCTGATGCTGGGCCTTGGTTTTGAGGGGTTTTTTAATTTACTCCATTATAAAGGGCACGAGATAGGTCTTTTCTTGCCCTTAAAGTTCTAAGGGCATTTAAAAAAATTTTTTTGATAAGTTATTTTTCTCAGTACTCCCTTAAAATTCTTGTTGTTATGCAGACATTGAGTCTAGTGGACTCCAATTAACATAATATTTTGACTCCTATTTTGATTTTTTTTTTTAAAGATTTTTATTTATTTATTTGACAGAGAGAGAGATAGCGAGAGCAGGAACACAAGCAGGGGGAGTGGGAGAGGGAGAAGCAGGCTTCCTGCCGAGCAAGGAGCCCGATGTGGGACTCGATCCCAGGACCCTGGGATCATGACCTGAGCCGAAGGCAGACGCTTAACGACTGAGCCACCCAGGCGCCCTTGAGTTTATTTTTTAAAAGATTTTTATCACCTTTATCTCACAACTCTTATGTTGGTTTTTTAAATCTCTCTTACTGTGTTTTCCTTTCCAAAAGCTCTGTTTTGTTCTCTAAACATATCCTCCTGTTTTTGCCTAATGGGAGCAATATCCTCATCTATCTGAGAGTAATAATTGTATGAGTTTTTCTTTTCTCAGTTGTTTGTTTGCTTCTTGCCCTAACTCAATTTCCTCAGATAGATTCTGTCTCTTTCTGGTGGTGGTTATTGCATTACAGCAGGGTTCTTAACCTGTTTTGAACCTTGGAACCCTTTGGCACCTGAACAAAGCCTATGGAGCTGAACCCCTTTAAAATCAAAGGAAATCAATTCTGTTAAAATACACTTCTCAACATATTTTTATAACTGTCACATAGCAGTATATATGTGCTTCTTTATTAACACATTAAGATCCAGAGATGATGAGCTCATAATTTCAAACTAGTGATGAGTATAATGATGTTTTTGGGCTATCTGTACCAACTGTAATGTGATATGAAAATTTTTTATCAGTGACAAAGTCACATGTATTGCTAACTCTTCTGTAGTCTGTACTCTACATTTATAATTAAAAGGAATGTCGTATCAGAGGTTAGTATAAAATAAAAATTTAATTTTTTGACATCCAAGTTTATTAAGCCCTTTGAATTCTATTGACAGACCTTGCGGGGTATCAAGAACTCTTTTATTAGAAGTTTCGTCACATATCTGGGGTGGTTGGCTGTCAGCTCAAAGAGTGAGGTACTGGGAAGCTAATTGGAAGCTCTGAGTAACTGAATGGGGCTTGACAACTACTAGGCTTCACTATACATTGTAGAAAGCTCAACTTTCATTATCTGTGGGTCCTTCCTCTTGGGATTCAAATCTCTTCAAAAAAGAATCCACCAATCTCCTTGTAGAATGTAAGTCTAGTTATCTATATTCTCAGAGACAAGTAATTTTCCCTCTTATATTCTGCTAGTAGAATTTGTTTTTGTGATTTAACTAAATGGTTATAGTATTAGATATGTTCGTGTTAAGTAAAATGGCTCTAGGAAAGGACACAATTGTCTTTTATGTTTTAAAACCCTTACTATAACAAGAAGACTGGGCTATTTCATCAAATTTATTTTTACTCATTTTTTTCAGGAGCTTTCAAGTTGTGGATGGAATAAAAAAGAAAAATATAGTTCTGCACCAAATGCCGTTGCCTTCACAAGAAGATTTAATCATGTGAGTTGCTTATAAAATCTTGATAATTTAGTTTCTGAAATTCAGTTCCTTAATGTATTTTCTTTTTTTTTTTTTTTTTTAAAGATTTTATTTATTTGACAGAGAGACACAGCAAGAGAGGGAACACAAGCAGGGGGAGTGGGAGAGGGAGAAGCCGGCTTCCCACTGAGCAGGGAGCCCGATGCGGGGCTCGATTCCAGAATCCTGGGATCATGACCTGAGCCGAAGGCAGACGCTTAACGACTGAGCCACCCAGGCGCCCCTTCTTAATGTATTTTCATTAAGAAGTAGTTTAACTTTTCACATCAATGTTGGAATATTTTAAGCCACTATCTCTTCAAATGTTGTCTCTCTGCATGATCTCTATTTTTTTTCCTTCTGTAATTTCTTTTGGAAATTTGTTGGGGCTTGATACTCTTTTCTACTTGTATGTTAACCTTTCATATTTTATATCTATTTCCTTAAACCATTCTGCATGGTTTCTTCAGATCTATATTTCAGTTCACTAATTCTCTTATAGATGGGTCACATCTGTTTCAAATCTGTGTGCTTTTACACTAGTGTCATTTTTAATATTTCTTAAATCATTTTCAACATTTTATTTTGTAATTTCTGTGTTATTATCTGAAGACCTTGGAGTTCTAATTCTGTGTTATGTCTGCTGATCCTTACACAAAATGGTTTGTTTTCTTAAGCATTTTATAATTTTAGATTGAGAGCTCATATTCATTTAAGCTTTATGTGTGCTTTATCTGTGGGACTTCTGCTGCTGCCTAGATTGAGGGTATATCTCTTCTGAAATGCTTTTGTTTGCTTTTGCTGGTACCAAGGGCTATAATGACTTAGTTCAGTTTTTCATAAGTTTTGGTTAGGAACATCCATACTTTGCTATAGTGAAAATTTAAACTCGAAATCCACTTAAGGGCTCGTTACAAATTCTTATGAAAAACTTATTTTTCTCCATCTCCTGTATTTGTCTTCCCCTGCCAGTAAGTGAATTGTTTTAGCCTCCATTTTCACCAAGATTATAGCACTTTGACAATCCCTTAGATAGACATAGTGGTGGTAGAAGAGAGTTGGGCGACTTGTATATATCTTGGGAGGAGTATTAAATCCTGAGCCTCTATGTCACTGAGAGAAAATCCTCCATGGGCAGCTGCAGTGCCCTTTCTTTTAACCACTGCTTTGCCTTTGTTTCCTCCTCCTTTTTTTTCCCCCCCTGCCTGTAGGGGAAATCCTTTCTTTCAAGTTAGCCACATGTTTTTTTAAAAAAGAGTTTGTTGTCTTTAACCCAACATTTCTAGGCTTTTATATAAACAGTTTCTCAGGTTATTTGGTTCACTGTATTCCCCAAAATGAAGTAGATCAAAGTTTTTAAAAATAAGATTAAACCATTAAAATAGAGATATAGGGCAAGCATGTCTTTCACTGAATTTTATATTCAAGTTATATAGTTATATATTCAAAATTTTTCTGAGTTGGTCAGAATTTTTCATCACAGTAAAATTTTTTTACCATACAAAAACATTGTTATAATATTCACAAATTTGACTTTAGATTTTAAGCATATTATTTTTAAATAAGCCAATAAGTTGTCAGAGTCAGATACGCCACATTGTACCAAAAGCTTTTATCCTTATTCCAGCATATTATTCTTAAATAAGCCAAAAAGTTGTCAGAGTCAAATATGCCACATTGTACCAAAAGCTTATATCCTTATTCCAGATTACAATTGATCCTATAATCTTACTGAGTTGCTCCATTACTCTATTAATTTCTCCTAGTAGGGTCATAGAAGATTTGAAATAGCAGATTATAAAAGAAATTAGAGTCTATTACAAGAAATCTATCTGCACCATTATTATTTTTTTTTAAGATTTTATTTATTTGAGAGAGCAGGTACGAGCGGTGAGGGGGGGAAGGGACAGAGGGAGAGGGAGAAGCAGACCGCTCCCTGATCAGGGAGCCTGATGCGGGCTTGATGTGCTGCTCGATCCCAGGACCCCGGGACCATGACCTGAGCCGAAGGCAGATGATTAACTGACTGAACCACCCAGGCGCCCCTTGAAATGCTTTTATAAAGAGACATTTTCCCTCATCTGGTATTTGCTTGCCCAGAGGTTCATTACCTATAAGCAAGGAAGGATGAATGTTTGATCCTTCCCTTTATTTAATAATTTTGAAGATAATGAATTGGTGTTCCTCTAATAGTGACCAAGTAGTTTTTTATTTTTTAATACCATTATGAACTCATAAATTTAGATGCATATGATGTGTTTCAACCCATTGTGGTTATTATCTTTATTGAGACGAATATTGTTCCATCTTTGGCCAGTGGAAGTCTATGCAAGTTGGCATTCATGTCCTTTGTCACAACCCTAGTCGTCTCGAATAGTTCCCTTGCCATCTGGTATACAAAGATGTTTCGGGTTCATTTGCTCCATTACCTGTCACCCACCTGGAATCAACATTTCTTTAATAAGTCCTGGTTTCTTATGGGGGGAAGTGGACCTGAATGCTAGGAATGCTCATTGCTATCAGAATGACAATTTCTATGCCTTTTTCAGCAGAGATACCTAGGATATCTGTGTGTTATACACATACACATACAACTATTTAAAGATAAAGCATCTCATGAGTTCATATTGATACTTCTAATTCGAATTCAGGACCAGAGTTTTACTTCCAACTCTTCTGTATTACATCCATATGTTCTTTCTTCCACACCCAGAATTCTGGTTTTCAAGGGACATAGGACATGATACAATACCCTATCATATACTCATTTGCTTTATCCTACATAACAAACAACAGACTCAGAATAATAATACTAATACCAATAATGTTATAAACAGATGTTTTGCAGATGTTCTGTTTTTTATAATTGCACTATATATTGTCTGAGCATATCGGCATTATATAACGTACTCTCTTTCTAACCCTCCTTAAAGTACCATCCTTATGTTGGTGTTTCTCTAGGCTGTTTGGTTGCCTGAAGCTCGTTCTCTGTTACAATACTCAGGAAGGGCTCATTAAAACAGTAATGCCCGAATTCTTGAATGCTGACAAATTTTCCTCTCCTCTGTATAAAATTTTCCTTTCTTGATATTAATCCATTTTTTTTCCTGACAGTGTTGCTGTTGAAAAGTCTGATGATAATTACATTTTATTTTCCTTAAAAATTACCGTATCTTTTTGTCTCTATGGCCGACAGGTTTTTTTTCCCCAGTAATTTTATTGAAGTGTATCTTAGTGTCGGTCATTCTGGATCAGTATTCTCAGGTATGGTTGGCTTTAGCTAGGACTGTCAACTGGGGAGCACCTACACTTAGCCTTTCCAGCATGGTGATTGGACTTCTTACGTGGTAGTTCAGGAATCTCAGACACAATGTTCCAGCAATCAAGGCAGGGGCTGCGTGCTCTTTTATGACCTTGTCCTGGAAGTTAGCATCAATTTCGTTCATCTTCTGTTTATCAAAGCAGTCACAAACCTGTCCAGATGACTTTCAGTGAAAAGAATGACAAGAACTTTTGGGCCATGTTGATGGTATTTGTCTTAAAATTTGTCTCACATTAAATTTAATAAAGTCAGCGATCATGCAGTTTAGATTGAGTTCACGGGTAATATTGGCTATGGTTGTTGATCAAATATCTAAAGTATAGCTTTTGATATATTTTAGAAGTAAACTTTATCAGAATCAGGGATAATAATTGCCATTAGTAGCCCAGATATAGTAACGGATAGGAAGATGGTTTTGTAAAATATATACATTTTATATTTACATATATACCTTTGTAAAATATATACAAAATATGTACATTTTGGCATTTTATTGATGAAATGTTTCACTAAAACAGGGAGACGAAATGTGAGGCAAGGCGCTATCTTTTGCACTGTCATTTCTTAACTAATACACTGTTTTTAGATTTAGAAGTTTAAGCCAACTGATAGTGCTTTGATTTTCTTATCATAGTAAATGAATTAAAAATGTTACATTATATCATATGGTAAGCAAACTACTTTCATCAGAGTAGATAGAGCATTTTAGTAGTGTGATAGATAGATCTAGTGTGCCTTCTGATGAATGATTTTTAATGTCTTGAAAGAAATTATGAATATGGTTTATGAATTAGGGAATGCATTACATGATTTTTAAAATACAGTCTTAGTTTAATTTTAGAATGACTTAGATACGTTTTTCTTTATGATATTTCATTTTATTCATACCAAGAAACACTTGGGATTCTTCACACTTACGATTATGCTTAGTGTAAATAAATGGCAATGTGGGATTACACAGCCACAGGAAAAGTATGCTATAAGTAGCATATTTTATAATGTCTGCTCTTAAAGCATATCTAATCTGCCACGGTGTTTCAGAATACAGCAAAATCACACGTATTGGTATAGTGTTCTTGTTGTATCACTCTGGTTTTATTGCATTCTTCTGTTAGCTCTTTTCCTTCAAAACTTCTGTTTGCTTTTACAAATCAAAAATCATAGTGATGTTTTTGTGTATGTACACACATATCTATATCTGTCTCTGTGCATATACATATCGTACATATATGAAGTGTATGCAACATCCAAAGATTGGGTATATATCCAATTGGGGGGGTGTGCTGGGAAAGAGAAAGTATGGTTTATTAACCAGCTATAGGTAGTTCATCAAGTAGTTCCTGTCATTAATTGGATCCTAGTGAGTGAAGAATCTTGCCATTCAACTATTTTTCATTTTTATTTGCAGGTAAGCTTTTGGGTTGTTAGAGAAATTCTTCATGCTCAGACATTAAAAATCAGAGCAGAAGTGTTGAGCCACTATATTAAAACTGCTAAGGTAAGAAAACTTTTGTTTTTATTTTTTGAGAGTCCCAACCATTCAGCACTGTTTGTGAGAAAATGTTTGCCTGTGACACCTTATTTATTATTTATTGACCCTGGAAAATAAGGCCTATTGATTAGTATGTCAATTTTTTCAATTGGGTGCCTGTTTTCTTTGCCTTTTCTTTATTCCTCCTATCTTCCTCCCTTTTACATCTTTCCTCCCTCTCTCAGAGTAGCTGGATTATATTATTTATTTGACTGGATAAGTAGGCAGAGATCAGATTATGGTGAAGTATGACAGTTACAAAATATTGGACTCTTGTGCACGTAATTGGGAAAGCCTTACAGGATTAAGTAGGAAAATACGTATCAGTTATTTGCTTTTGAAATACATCACTGCCAACCATGTGGAGAATGAGAAGACTTTATTTGTAAGAGAATAATATAAAGAGGATATTAACAAAATATGTTAACTGAGTAGTTGTTGTATGGCATGGATAATAAATGCAGCAAGAGAAAAGGAACATGGATTTCAAGGATGGTCAGAATTTAGAGAGGAGGGGGTGAACAGGGCATTTCACAGGAGGATACCAATAATTTATTAAAACTCATAACTCCAAATTTACGTTAAGTTCACTAAAAGGTAGTATAATTGTAGCCACATTCTTCATTATTCTTGTAATAAATACATAACTTACCTCACATCCGAATGAAAGTGGATTAAAATAAGAATACCTTTTTTACAGTTTTAAATTACTGTAATTATTATAAAATTGTGATTGCTGTGAGTTGTAAAATATTTTCCTTGAGCACCTGGGAACAATTGTATTCTAGCATTCTGTGGCACTAGGTGGCAGAGCTAGCTTTGTAAATATGATATTTTGTGGCAGTGTCATAAAACTTTTAAAACGTTCTCTGTGATATGTTTGATAAATATTGGGTTTTGCTAACAAATTCATGTCTTTTCTCCATAAAGTCTGAATTTGTTTTATTTTTTCCTGGTATTTTTATGCTTTGCACATTCCATTCAAAACCACCAAATTCTAGGGGCGCCTGGGTGGCTCAGTTGTTAAGTGTCTGCCTTCGGCTCAGGTCATGATCCCAGGGTCCTGGGATCGAGCCCCGCATCGGGCTCCCTGCTCAGCGGGAAGCCTGCTTCTCCCTCTCCTACTCCCCCTGCTTGTGTTCCCTCTCTCGCTGTCTCTCTCTGTCAAATAAATAATCTTAAAAAAAGAAAAAAGAAACCAAATTCCGCCTTTCAGGCTTGCTGTTATCCTCCTCATCAAGTAATCATTTAATTCCAGTTCAGACTCTAAGTTATTTTTGACAGTGGTTGCTTTCGTCCCAAGCCCTAAGTTCATAACCTTTTTTGTTGTGTACCGTCTCTTAAATCCTTCTATTCTGCCTCTCTGCCTTCTGTATTCAGTCTGTATAAAACGGGCAGGTCTTTTTCTTCTTTTAGTAGATTGTATGAGTTAGGGTTCTCTAGAGTGAGAGTATAAATACACATATATATAAACTATATAAAGAAAATTAAGGAATTGGCTCCAGTAGTTGGGGGAAGGGGCTGGCTAGTGTGAAATCGATTGTAGGGCAGGTGGACAATCTAGAAACTCAGGCTGGAATTGGAGGTGCAGTCTTGAGGCAGAATTTCTTCTCTCAGTTTTTGTTTGTTTTTTTTTTTTTTAAGATTTGCATTTATTTATTTAAGAGAGAGCATGAGAGGGGGGAGGGTCAGAGGGAGAAGCAGACTCCCCACTGAGCAGGGAGCCCAATGTGGGACTTGATCACGGGACTCTGGGATCATGACCTGAGCTGAAGGCAGTCGCTTAACCAACTGAGCCACCCAGGTGCCCCTCTTCTCTCAGTTTTTGTCTCTTAAGCCATTTTAGCTGATTAGATGCAGCCTACCATATTATCAAGTGTAATCTCTTTTAATTAAAATCAACTGATTATAGATGTAAACCATATCTACAAAATGGCTCCACAGCAACACCTAGATTAATGTTTGATTAAATAACTGGGTACCATAGTCTAAATCAAGTTTGATACGTAATACTGATCACAGAGACACACAAAAAATTTATAAAGTAGATTTAAGGTATCAAAAGGATGATAAAGTGGATATCCATGTACCCACTGCCCTCTTTGAATTCCCATAGGTCTCCTCATATGCGATCCCCTACCCTCCCACTACAAAAGGAACCATTGCCCAGAATTTTGTTTGCTTTTCTTATATAGTTTTATATATGTGTGTGTTTCTGAATCATATATTGTATGTTTTTCAATTTTGTTTAAATCATTTCCGAATTACTTTTATATTTTTAAAACTTTGGTTTTTTTTTACTCAGCACTGTTTCTGAATGGTTTCGGGGTATATCTCTGTTTAGAGTGCTCTGTTGTTTGCATATACCACAAATTCTTCAATATACTCTAGCTTGGATAGTTTTGAAATTTTTGTTGTTATAAACACTACTGCTTTGTAGGAGTCTCTAGGTGCTCATGTGGGGGTTGAAGCACTAAAATATAGAGAGAACAGGTAAATTACCTTTAAAGAAATGACAGATAACTTTCATTGAATGTGATGAGAATGAACATTTTTTTCTGTGTTGGCCATTTAGGTTTTCTCTCCTGAAATGTCTGTTCAGGATCTTTGAACAATTTTCTATTATGGTGTTGGTCTTTTATTGATTTTTGTAAGAGTTTTTTATTTAACTCTTGATGCTAGTTCTCTTTTACATGTTTTCATATGCATCATTCTATTTTTGACTTGTCTTACCACTTTTCATGTTATGTTTTGATATAGTTATTCTTTAGTAGTCAAACTTACTGATCTTTAATTTTGTCTTATTTAAATATACCTAATTTAAGAAAGTTTTATAGCTTTGATTTTTGTACTTGAGTATTTAATCCATGTGGAATAAATTTTTATGTATGTATGGATTATGGATTACTATTCATATTTTTCATATGAATAATAATTCTGGCACCATTTTTTAATTGAGGTATAATTGACATACAGTATCCTGCTAGTTTCGGGTGTACATCATAGTGATTCAGTGTTTTTATACATTATGAAATTATCTCGATAAGTCTAGTTACCATACAAAATTATTATAATATTTTTTTACGTCACATTTCCATGACTTACTTACTTTAGAACTGGAAGTTTGTACCTCTTAATTGCCTTTGCCTGTTTCATCCACTCCCCCAAACCTTTCCCTCTGATAACCAACAGTTTATTTTCTATAAATCTGTTTCTGTTTTGTTTGTTCATTTGTTTTGTTTTTTAGATTCCACATATACGTGAAATCATACCGTATTTGTCTTTCTCTGATTTATTTCACTTAGCATAATACCTTCTATGTCCAACAAGGTTATCACAAATGGCAAGATTTCATTCTTTTTTTATGGCTAAGACTGCATTGTATCATAGATACCACATCTTCTTTGTCTGTATATCAGTGGGCACTGGGTTGCTTCCATTGTAAATAACGGCTATTGTAAATAATGCTGCAATGAACATAGGGGTGCATATATCTCTTTGAATTGGTGTTTTCATCTTCTTTGGATAAATACCCAAAATAGAATTGCTGGATCATATGGTAGTTCTATTTTTAAATTTTTGAAGAACCTCCACAGTGCTTTCCATAGTGGCTGCATCAGTTTATAGTCCCACCAGCAGTGTGTGAGCAGTGTTTTCCCCACATACTTGCCAGTGCTTGTTATTTTGGGGTTTTTTGTTTTTTTGGTTTTTTTGATAGTAGCCAATCTGACCAAATGAGAGGATCTCTCATTGTGGCCTTGATTTGCATTTCCCTAATGATTAGTGATGTTGAGGTCTGACACCATTTTTAAAAATCCTTTGTTAAAGTGATCTTTATTTTATTTAACCTGGAAGTCTCTTTATGTCACCTTGTTCTTATAAAATGCTATTCCAGTGGTGCCTGGGTGGCTCAGTCGTTTAAGCGTCTGCCTTCAGTTCAGGTCGTGATCTCAGGGTCCTGGGATCAAGCCCCACATCAGGCTCCCTGCTCAGCAGGAAGCCTGCTTCTCCCTCTCCCCCTTGCTCCTGCTCTCTCTCTCAAAAAAAGAAAATCTTTAGGAAAAAAAAATGCTATTCCAGACTTAGAGTTTTGTGTGTTTGTTTTTTGTTTTTTACTCTGCTTGGGATTCCTTGAGCTTCCTGAACCTAGGAATTAATGTCTTCTCAGTAATCTAGGAAAATAATCAGCCATCATGTCTCAGATACTGTTTCTACCATTACTTTTTTTCGTCTTCTTCTGCAACTCCAGCTAGATAAATGTTGGCCTTTTTTCTCTACGTTTCATGTCTCAACCTTTTTTCACATTTTTTAAACCTCTTTTATGTTGCATTCTAGATAATATCTTCATATTTAATCTTCATTTTATTTGAGGCCAATAACTGATATTGTTCTCCATCTGTAAATTCTTGGTTCCTTATGTTTTTTCATTTTCCATTTTTTTAAATTGAGTCTGTTGAGTTCATATTTCTTGAAACTTTATGGGAATTCTTTGAGACCTGAGCTAAGGTGATATATTGGTCAGAGTTCTTCAGAGAAACAGAAACCCTCCTCTTTCCTTAGCTCTAATGTTCAAAACAGGCATTTTTGCCTTGGAGTCTCTTGGTGGTGGGCAAGGACCATTCTAAATGATTTTCAGATAGGACCATTAAGATGTAAGCATCTGGTATTATGAGGAAATCTGGGAAATTAGCAATAAATACATAAATAAATAAATATCAAGTAGATCTCTTGGGAAACTGATGGAGCCTAATGTTAGGTAGGAGTCCTGCAAGGAGACTGTAAAAAGCAAGGTCTAGTATTGGGAAGCGAGTGGATGTCCCAACATGAGTGAAGAACAGAGAATCAGGATTCGGGTGGGAGGAAGAAGGGAATTAAGGACTGTGGAAAGCAGATTTGAACCCTAACCCTGGAATTATGAGGGTACTGAGTAGAAAACCAGATCAGGATCCTGGGCACAGACCCTTTCTTAAAACTGGGATCATAAGGCAGGGGGTTGGTATTTCAGTATAAGGAAGGAGACTCCTTACTAGAAAATGGGGTGCATGATCATATTGGGTAAACTTGATACTGAGCCATAACTTTGGTTTTCTTAATATATTACTGAACTAGAGGTAGATTTGTTCCCAGAGCTTGGGGTCAATGCCAGGTTAGAATGTGGAAGTTCTGTTGTGGGCTAAAATCAACTTATTGTAAACATAATGGGTACTCTAAAGATGAATCTTGCTGATGAGGGTGAGAAGTACTAGAACACTACTAATACTAAGTGCCTAGATTTTACTTGTTAATCGAAAGTTTTCTTATATTTATTCTCATTATTTTTTATCTCTCCTCCCCCTTTTTCTTAAATCTTCAGAAACTGTATGAGCTGAATAACCTTCATGCACTTATGGCAGTGGTTTCTGGCTTACAGAGTGCCCCAATCTTCAGGTTGACTAAAACATGGGCGGTAAGTCATCTTCCCAGTTAGTGAAAGGGTTAGACTTCCTGTTGGAAGTAAAGATGTATTTATTTCTTTTGTAGTTCTTAGTAAGGTTAATATTATAATAGATAAGGACCTTTAAATTAGTTTATACTCTATTTTTTTTTGAAACCTGCTTTTTCCTCTCTCAAGTGTTACACTAGACTTGTCAGGTAATTTTGGGGTAAATTATAGCTTGGTACTTGGGTTTTGCCATTTAGGAAATCATTTTTGTAGAATCTGTATAAGCATCTTTGACAACATAGCATTTCATGTTTACTGATGGGGAAGTGTAATTTTTATTTTTGCATTTAATGCAGTTTTTTTGCATTTAATCTTGTAAAGATTAAGCTTTTGGAAAGTTCAAGGAGAACATCTAAATTGCAACTTTCAGAATATTTACTTATTTAGATTTTCATTATCTTTTAGTCAGTAAACTTAGATTTTTTTCCCCTCAGGAATAATGAAAAATTGGGTAGTTAACATGGGATTATGCAGTGTTGCTGCACATTCTGATATATGTTAATTGTATTTGGTTCTATCACTTTGACAAGGTCAGTCAGGGTGTGAATTTTGACTTCTGCAAATCTGTGTACTTCCATATTTGAGTGATGTGATACTGGCCTCAAGCTTTCTAGGTATTTTTTTTTTTTTTTAAAGATTTTATTTATTTATTTGACAGAGAGAGAAAGCATAAGTAGGCAGAGCGGCAGGCAGAGGCAGAGGGAGAAGCAGGCTCCCGGCTGAGCAGGGAGCCTGATGCGGGGCTCGATCCCAGGACTCTGGGATCACGATCTGAGCTGAAGGCAGCTGCTTAACCAACTGAGCCACCCAGGCGCCCCTCTAGGTATTTTTCATTTAGATTTTATATAAGTAAAATTTCATATCCGATTAAATCTGTTCTTTTTTTTTTTTTAAAGATTTTATTTATTTATTTGAGACAGAGAGAATGAGAGAGAGAGCACATGAGAGGGGGGAGGGTCAGAGGGAGAAGCAGGCTCCCCGCCGAGCAGGGAGCCCGATGCGGGACTCGATCCAGGGACTCTGGGATCATGACCTGAGCTGAAGGCAGCTGCTTAACCAACTGAGCCACCCAGGCGCCCCTCTAGGTATTTTTCATTTAGATTTTATATAAGTAAAATTTCATATCCGATTAAATCTGTTCTTTTTTTTTTTTTAAAGATTTTATTTATTTATTTGAGACAGAGAGAATGAGAGAGAGAGCACATGAGAGGGGGGAGGGTCAGAGGGAGAAGCAGGCTCCCCGCCGAGCAGGGAGCCCGATGCGGGACTCGATCCAGGGACTCCAGGATCATGACCTGAGCTGAAGGCAGCCGCTTAACCAACTGAGCCACCCAGGCACCCCAGTATAACTGTTTTTAATTAGCCTAGTATTGCTTTTCCTTTTCATCGTATCTGAAGAGACAGATGTTTCTCATGAAAACCAGGGTGATTTTCTGTATTAGAAGAAAGACATTAATATGGAAGAGCTTATGATCCTCTTTATATTTTATTTGCATTTTAGAAGCACCTGGGTGAAGGGTTTTCTTACTTTAAAAAAATTCCTTTTAATAAGATGGCCTTTCTCTCTTTTCTTAAAATTTGAATTTCACTGGTGAATGGAAATGATTATAAATATACAGTAATGAATTCCATCTTTGAAATTTTAGGGAAAAGAATTATACTCTGATTTATCTTGTGGTTTAGAAATGAGATACATTTCCCTCAAGTTAATTTTTATTTTCCTTGAAGATATTTTTGTTGTCTCCCTCATATATTTGCATGGAAAAGAATTTTTTATTTAGTAACAGTTTCATTATTAATCTGAATAAAATCTTTAGTGTTTATATTAAATTTAAAATTATATTAAATTTAAAATAGTCTATACTGTGCCAGGCACTAACTGCTTGGCATACAGCAGTAAATGATACAAAGTCCCATTCTTATGCAGCTAACATTCTACTGGGAAAAGATAAGCTGTAAATAAATAAATGATATATCATAAATATTGATGAATGCTCTGAAAAATAAAGCAGATTAAAGGGGATAGAAGAGAAAACAGGGTAGTATTTTATATAGTACAATCAACCCTTGAACAACACAGAGATTAGGGATGCCAACCCCCCTGCACAGTCAAAAATCTGCATAAAACTTGACTCCCTCCAGACTTAACTACTAATAGCCAACTGCTGACTTGGAAGTCTTACCAATAACATAAAGTTGATTAACATGTATTTTGTATGTTATGTATATCATATACTGTATTCTTACAATAAAGTAAGATAGAGAAAAGAGAATGTTATTAAGAAAGTCATAAGGAAGAGACTATGCATTTACAGTACTGTGCTGTAAAAACTTCACGTGTAAATGGACCTGCCTAGTTCAAACCCATATTATTAACTGTATATGGTAAGAGAATCTCTGTTAAGTGACAGTTGGGTAGAGAGCTGGAAGAACTGAGAGAAGCATTTGTGTGGAGATCTGGGAGAAGAGAATTTCAAGCAGAGGTGATAGTCAATACAAAGGCCCTGGTAACCTTCAAAGAATAGCAGGGTGGTCGGTATTGACAGAGTGGAATAAGCTATGGAGTAGTTGATGGTAGGAGATGAGTCCAGAGAGGTCACCTCAAATCAGATAAGGGAGATACTATTTACTGATATTCTGGGGATACTATAGGGAAGGAGTGTGTTGGTGGTGGGCAGGGAGGTTCTCTTTTACACATACCAAGTTTGAGTTGGCTGATAAATATCCATGTGCAACTGTAAGGTCAGAGTTAGGTGTACAAGTTTAAGGGAGGAGTTGGAGTAAGGGAGGAGTTGGAGCTAGAGATGTATTTTTTTTTTTTTATCATCAGCATAAACATAGTATTTAAAACATGAGATTGGATAGGATCACCTGAGTCGTAAGTACAGATGAAGAGCCCTGGAAGCCTCCAAGATTTACAGATTGGAAAAATAAGGGATCAACAGAGGAAATATCACAGTGGGAGTTTTCCACAGTCAGGTAATGAAAGTGTTTCAAGAAAGAGTGATCACCTGTGTCAGATGCTGCTAATAAGTTGAATTAGGTGAGAACTTTGAGATGGCCATTGGATATGGCAGTTGGAGAGGATTGGCAACCTTGCCAAGAGTGGTTTCAGTATAGTGGTGGAGTGAAAACTGATTGGATTTGAGAGAATGTGGAGAAAAAAATAGGACAGCAAGTATAGAGAATGCATTTGAGGAATTTTGTCATAAAGGGCGGGGTTGAGGTGCTGCAGAGAAATCTGGCAGCTAGAGGGGAATGTAAGACAAAAGATTTGTGGCATTTTGTTTTGTTTTTGGAAATGAGAGCCAGGACAGTATGTTTGTATGCTGGTGCAATGACCTAATAGAAAGGAAAAATGGTAGAGCAAGAAGTTACTCTAGCAATACCCTTGATCAGGCAGGAGGGAACTGATCCAGTACTATAGTGGAGCAGGAACAGTTTATCCATGTTAACAGTAGAGAAGGGGATGCATTTGGTTACAGATGCAGGTAAGTTGGTAGATGTGGTGAGATTCTGTAGAAATTCTTCTGATGTTTGTTTCTTATCTATAAAGCAGAGTCATTATTTGAGAGTGATGGGGGAGAGGTGTTAGAGGTTTGAAGAAAGAAGAACAGATGAAAGTCATCTTAGAAGAGTGTGAGAATGAATTAACTAGGGAAACACGGTAGGTTGGGTATGGTAGGCCTTATGACTGAGATTTTTGGTCATGAATTTAAGGTGAAACCAGTCATTGAAGTCATGTATTCTCTAACCAGGTGCAGGTGCTTAGCATAAGCCTGGAGTAATGATGAGAATTGTATTTAATCAGTGTTGGAATTTTTTAAGGCTTGTTTGTACCATAGAGGGGTCAAGGATAGCACAAGAGATAAAGTGGGTAAATGTACAAGTAGTTTTAGTGATAGGTAAGGAATTTAACCCAAGTAAGAGAGAGAGAAGGAAGAGTGAAAAAGTAGTGTTGGTAACTGGATTGGGAATTCTGGTGCAGTCAGTACTTACTGGATTCAGGATAACCAAGGGAGTAGTAGAGGCTGAGAGTGGTAAAAGGTAAGATCATTGAATGGAAGAGAAGTCAAGGAACTGAGATACCAGGGTAGTAAGAGTATCATCTATGTGAAGATAACAGTCACCAAGATAGGAAAATAATGTTGGTTTTTGGACTCTTTCTCCAACTACCAACACCTTTAAGATACAATGGAAAAAATGACTAGTAGCTCTGTTAATGACAGAAACATAAGTGTTATAATCTAGTGCTCTCTTGTCCAGTATGGTAACCACTAGTCACATGTGGGTATTAAATTTAAATCATTCTAATTAAACTTAAAATTTAGTTCCTCACTCATACTAGCCATGTTGCCAGTACTCAGTAGTCATGTGTGGCTAGTGGACATTGTATTGGGCAGCACAGACATAGATCATTTTCATCACACAAAATTCGATCAGACAGCATTGATCTAGTGCTTGAACTTAGTAGAAGCTGGAGGATGGTAGAGAGGAAAGAATTGTGAAGAGCAAGGAGCCAGGATTGCACCCAACTCAAATCTAGGCTCATGTTACAAAAAAAGAAAGAGAAGGCTTAAAGAAAAGGTTAAGGATGGGGCTTATGCAGAGGATGGGCCATGAGACCCAGAAGGTACAGTTGGAAAGGTGTAAACAGTCTATGAATGGATATACAAAATGTATACACATAGAGTGGAATATTATTTAGCATTAAAAAGGAATGAAATTCTGACATGTTACACCATGGATGAATCTTGAAGACGTTATACTAGGTGAAATTAGCCAGACAAAAGGACAGATACTGTATGTTTCTGTTTATATGAGGTACCAAGAGTAGTCAAATTCATAGAGACAGAAAATAGAAGAAGGTTGCTAGGGGCCAAAAGGAGGGGGGAATAGGAGTTACTGTACAGTGGGTGTGGGGTTTCAGTTTGGGAAAATGAAAAGAGTTCTATCCATGCATG